TTTTTTCCGCTAGGTGAAGTAGTCGAGGGCTGATTTCTTCGCCTATGATCAAAAGAGTTCCGTTTCCACCGCCAAACCTTTCAGGGGGGAGTTTATAACAGTTTGGCACCATTTTTGAGCAAAGTTGAAAACGGCCGATTTTTGATGAAATTGTGACCGCGCGGCTTCAGGATTTTTACGGAATATATTTTACCGCAGGTGAAGTAGTCGAGGGCTGATTTCTTTGCGTATGATCAAAGACTTCCGTTTCCACCGCCAAACCTTTCAGGGGAGAGTTTGCAACAGGTTGGCACCATTTTTGAGCAAAGTGGAAAACGGCCGATTATTGATGAAATTGTGACCGCGCGCCTTAGGGATTTTTCAGAAAAATCTTTTTCCGCAGGTGAAGTAGTCGAGGGCTGATTTCTTGGCCTATGATCAAAAGCCTTCCGTTTCCACCGCCAAACCTTTCAGAGGAGAGTTTGCAACAGTTTGGCACCATTTTTGAGCAAAGTGGAAAACGGCCGATTTTTGATGAAATTGTGACCGTGCGCCTTAGGGATTTTTCAGAAAAATCTTTTTCCGCAGGTGAAATATTCGAGGGCTGATTTCTTGGCCTATGATCTAACGCCTTCCGTATTCACCGCCAAACCTTTTAGGGAAGAGTTTTCAACAGTTTGGCACCATTTTTGAGCAAAGTGGAAAACGGACGATTTTTGATGAAAGTGTGACCGCGCGCCTTAGTGATTTTTCAGAAAAATCTTTTTCCGCAGGTGAAGTAATCGAGGGCTGATTTCTTGGCCTATGATCAAAAGCCTTCCGTATTCACCGCCAAACCTTTCAGGGGAGGGTTTGTAGCAGTTTGGAACCGTTTTTCAGCAAAGTGGAAAACGGACGATTTTTGATGAAAGTGTGACCGCGCGGCTTAGGGATTTTTTCAGATTTTTTTTTCCGCAGGTGAAGTAGTCGAGGGCTGGTTTATTGGCCTATGATCAAAAGACTTCCGTTTCCACCGCCAAACCTTTCAGGGGTGAGGTTGCCACAGTTTGACACCATTTTTGAGCAAAGTGGAAAACGGCAATTTTTGATGAAATTGTGACCGCGCGGCTTAGGTATTTTTCAGAATTTTTTTCGCAGGTGAAGGAGTCGAGGGCTGATTTCTTGGCCTATGATCAAAAGACTTCCGTTTCCACCGCCAAACCTTTCAGGGGAGAGTTTGCAACAGTTTGGCACCATTTTGGAGCAAAGTGGAAAACGGCAGATTTTTGATGAAATTGTGACCGCGCGGCTTAGGTATTTTTTCAGAATTTTTTTTTTTCGCTGGTGAAGTAGTCGAGGGCTGATTTCTTCGCCTATGATCAAAAGAGTTCCGTTTCCACCGCCAAACCTTTCAGGGAAGAGTTTGCAACAGTTTGGCACCATTTTTGAGCAAAGTGGAAAACGGCCGATTTTTGATGAAATTGTGACCGCGCGGCTTCAGGATTTTTTTAGGATTTTTTCCCCCGCAGGTGAAGTAGTCAAGGGCTGATTTCTTCGCCTATGATCAAATGAGTTCCGTTTCCACCGCCAAACCTTTCAGGTGAGAGTTTGCAACAGTTTGGCACCATTTTTGAGCAAAGTGGAAAACGGCCGATTATTGATGAAATTGTGACCGCGCGCCTTAGGGATTTTTCAGAAAAATCTTTTTCCGCAGGTGAAGTAGTCGAGGGCTGATTTCTTGGCCTATGATCAAAAGCCTTCCGTTTCCACCGCCAAACCTTTCAGAGGAGAGTTTGCAACAGTTTGGCACCATTTTTGAGCAAAGTGGAAAACGGCCGATTTTTGATGAAATTGTGACCGTGCGCCTTAGGGATTTTCAGAAAATCTTTTCTGCAGGTGAAATATTCGAGGGCTGATTTCTTGGCCTATGATCTAACGCCTTCCGTATTCACCGCCAAACCTTTTAGGGAAGAGTTTGCAAACGTTTGGCACCATTTTTGAGCAAAGTGGAAAACGGACGATTTTTGATGAAAGTGTGACTTCACGGCTTAGTGATTTTTCAGAAAAATATTTTTCCGCAGGTGAAGTAATCGAGGGCTGATTTCTTGGCCTATGATCAAAAGCCTTCCGTATTCACCGCCAAACCTTTCAGGGGAGAGTTTGCAACAGTTTGGCACCATTTTTGAGCAAAGTGGAAAACGGCCGATTTTTGATGAAATTGTGACCGCACGCCTTAGGGATTTTTTCAGAAAAATCTTTTTCCGCAGGTGAAGTAGTCGAGGGCTGATTTCTTGGCCTATGATCAAAAGACTTCCGTTTGCACCGCCAAACCTTTCAGGGGAGAGTTTGCAACAGTTTGGCACCATTTTTGAGCAAAGTGGAAAACGGCCGATTTGTGATGAAATTGTGACTGCGCGCCTTAGGGATTTTTCAAAAAAATCTTTTTCTACAGATGAAGTAGTCGAGGGCTAATTTCTTGGCCTATGATCAAAAGCCTTCCATATTCCCGCCAAACCTTACAGGGAAGAGTTTGCAACAGTTTGGCACCATTTTTGAGCAAAGTGGAAAACGGCCGATTTTTGATGAAATTGTGACCGCGCGCCTTAGGGATTTTTCAGAAAAATCTTTTTCCGCAGTTGAAGTAATCGAGGGCTGATTCCTTGGCCTATGATCAAAAGCCGTACGTATTCACCGCCAAACCTTTCAGGAATGAGTTTGCAACCGTTTGGCACCATTTTTGAGCAAAGTGGAAAACGGACGATTTTTGATGAAAGTGTGACCTCACGGCTTTAGGGATTTTTTCAGATTTTTTTTTTTCGCAGGTGAAGTAATCGAGGGCTGATTTCTTGGCCTATGATCAAAAGACTTCCATTTCCACCGCCAAACCTTTCAGGGGAGAGTTTGCAACAGTTTGGCACCATTTTTGAGCAAAGTGGAAAACGGCCGATTTTTGATGAAATTGTGACCGCGCGCCTTAGGGATTTTTCAAAAAAATCTTTTTCTTCAGGTGAAGTAGTCGAGGGCTGATTTCTTGGCCAATGATCAAAAGCCTTACGTATTCCCCGCCAAACCTTTCAGGGAAGAGTTTGCAACCGTTTGGCACCATTTTTGAGCAAAGTGGAAAACGGTCGATTTTTGATGAAATTGTGACCGCGCGGCTTAGGGATTTTTTCAGAATTTTTTTTCCCGCAGGTGAAGTAGTCGAGGACTGATTTCTTGGCCTACTATCAAAAGACTTCCGTTTCCACCGCCAAACCTTTCAGGGGAGAGTTTGCAACAGTTTGGCACCATTTTTGAGCAAAGTGGAAAACGGCCGATTTTTGATGAAATTGTGACCGCGCGCCTTAGGGATTTTTCAAAAAAATCTTTTTCTTCAGGTGAAGTAGTCGAGGGCTGATTTCTTGGCCTATGATCAAAAGGCTTCCGTATTCCCCGCCAAACCTTTCAGGGAAGAGTTTGCAACAGTTTGGCACCATTTTTGAGCAAAGTGGAAAACGGCCGATTTTTGATGAAATTGTGACCGCGCGCCTTAGGGATTTTTCAGAAAAATCTTTTTCCGCAGGTGAAGTAATCGAGGGCTGATTTCTTGGCCTATGATCAAAAGCCTTCCGTATTCACCGCCAAACCTTTCAGGGAAGAGTTTGCAACCGCTTGGCACCATTTTTGAGCAAAGTGGAAAACGGCCGATTTTTGATGAAATTGTGACCGCGCGCCTTAAGGATTTTTTCAGAATTTTTTTTTCGCAGGTGAAGGAGTCGAGGGCTGATTTCTTCGCCTATGATCAAAAGTCTTCCGTTTCCACCGCCAAACCTTTCAGGGGAGAGTTTGCAACAGTTTGGCACCAATTTTGAGCAAAGTGGAAAACGGCCGATTTTTGATGAAATTGTGACCGCGCGGCTTAGGGATTTTTTCAGAATTTTTTTTCCCGCAGGTGAAGTAGTCGAGGGCTGATTTCTTGGCCTATGATCAAAAGACTTCCGTTTCCACCGCCAAACCTTTCAGGGGAGAGTTTGCAACAGTTTGGCACCATTTTTGAGCAAAGTGGAAAACGGCCGATTTTTGATGAAAGTGTGACCGCGCGCCTTAGGGATTTTTCAGAAAAATCTTTTTCCGCAGGTGAAGTAATCGAGGGCTGATTTCTTGGCGTATGATCAAAAGCCTTCCGTATTCACCGCCAAACCTTTCAGGGAAGAGTTTGCAACCGTTTGGCACCATTTTTGAGCAAAGTGGAAAACGGCCGATTTTTGATGAAATTGTGACCGCGCGGCTTAGGTATTTTTTCAGAATTTTTTTTTTCGCAGGTGAAGGAGTCGAGGGCTGATTTCTTCGCCTATGATCAAAAGACTTCCGTTTCCACCGCCAAACCTTTCAGGGGAGAGTTTGCAACAGTTTGGCACCATTTTTGAGCAAAGTGGAAAACGGCCGATTTTTGATGAAATTGTGACCGCGCGGCTTTGGTATTTTTTCAGAATTTTTTTTTTCGCAGGTGAAGTAGTCAAGGGCTGATTTCTTCGCCTATGATCAAAAGTCTTCCGTTTCCACCGCCAAACCTTTCAGGGGAGAGTTTGCAACAGTTTGGCACCATTTTTGAGCAAAGTGGAAAACGGCCGATTTTTGATGAAATTGTGACCGCGCGGCTTAGGGATTTTTCAAAAAAATCTTTTTCTACAGGTGAAGTAGTCGAGGGCTGATTTCTTGGCCTATTATCAAAAGCCTTCTGTATTCCCCGCCAAACCTTTCAGGGAAGAGTTTGCAACAGTTTGGCACCATATCTGAGCATAGTGGAAAACGGCCGTATTTTTATGAAATTGTGACCGCGCGCCTTAGGGATTTTTCAGAAAAATCTTTTTCCGCAGGTGAAGTAACCGAGGGCTGATTCCTTGGCCTATGATCAAAAGCCTTCCGTATTCACCGCCAAACCTTTCAGGACAGAGTTTGCAACCGTTTGGCACCATTTTTGAGCAAAATGGAAAACGGACGATTTTTGATGAAAGTGTGACCTCGCGGCTTTAGGGATTTTTTCAGATTTTTTTTTTCCGCAGGTGAAGTTCTCGAAGTCTGATTTCTTGGCCTATGATCAAAAGACTTCCGTTCCACCGCCAAACCTTTCAGGGAGAGCTTTGCAACAGTTTGGCACCATTTTTGAGCAAAGTGGAAAACGGCCGATTTTTGATGAAATTGTGACCGCGCGCCTTAGGGATTTTTCAAAAAAATCTTTTTCTACAGGTGAAGTAGTCGAGGGCTGATTTCTTGGCCTATGATCAAAAGCCATCCGTATTCCCCGCCAAACCTTTCAGGGAAGAGTTTGCAACAGTTTGGCACCATTTTTGAGCAAAGTGGAAAACGGACGATTTTTGATGAAAGTGTGACCGCGCGGCTTAGTGATTTTTCAGAAAAATCATTTCCGCAGGTGAAGTAGTCGAGGGTTGATTTCTTGGCCTATGATCAAAAGACTTCCGTTTCCACCGCCAAACCTTTCAGGGAAGAGTTTGCAACAGTTTGGCACCATTTTTGAGCAAAGTGGAAAACTGCCGATTATTGATGAAATTGTGACCGCGCGGCTTCGGTATTTTTTAGAATTTTTTTTCGCAGGTGAAGTAGTCGAGGGCTGATTTCTTCGCCTATGATCAAAAGACTTCCGTTTCCACCGCCAAACCTTTCAGGGGAGAGTTTGCAACAGTTTGGCACCATTTTTGAGCAAAGTTGAAAACGGCCGATTTTTTATGAAATTGTGACCGCGCGGCTTTGGGATTTTTTCAGAATTTTTTTTTCCGCAGGTGAAGTAGTCGAGGGCTGATTTATTGGCCTATGATCAAAAGACTTTCGTTTCCACCGCCAAACCTTTCAGGGGAGAGTTTGCAATAGTTTGGCACCATTTTTGAGCAAAGTGGAAAACGGCCTATTTTTGATGAAATTGTGACCGCGCGCCTTAGGGATTTTTCAGAAAAATCTTTTTCCGCAGGTGAAGTAATCGAGGGCTGATTTCTTGGCCTATGATCAAAAGCCTTCCGTATTCACCGCCAAACCTTTCAGGGAAGAGTTTGCAACCGTTTGGCATCATTTTTGAGCAAAGTGAAAAACGGACGATTTTTGATGAAAGTGTGACCGCGCGCTTAGGGATTTTTCAGAAAATCTTTTTGCGCAGGTGAAGTAATCGAGGGCTGATTTCTTGGCGTATGATCAAAAGCCTTCCGTATTCACCGCCAAACATTTCAGGGAAGAGTTTGCAACCGTTTGGCACCATTTTTGAGCAAAGTGGAAAACGGCCGATTTTTGATGAAATTGTGACCGCGCGGCTTAGGGATTTTTTCAGAATTTTTTTTTTCGCAGGTGAAGGAGTCGAGGGCTGATTTCTTCCCCTATGATCAAAAGACTTCCGTTTCCACCGCCAAACCTTTCAGGGGAGAGTTTGCAACAGTTTGGTACCATTTTTGAGCAAAATGGAAAACGGCCGATTTTTGATGAAATTGTGACCGCGCGCCTTAGGGTTTTTTCACAAGAATCTTTTTCCGCAGGTGAAGTAATCGAGGGCTGATTTCTTGGCCTATGATCAAAAGCCTTCCGTATTCACCGCCCAACCTTTCAGGGAAGAGTTTGCAACCGTTTGGCACCATTTTTGAGCAAAGTGGAAAACGGCCGATTATTGATGAAATTGTGACCGCGCGGCTTAGGGATTTTTTCAGAATTTTTTTTCCCGCAGATGAAGTAGTCGTGGGCTGATTTCTTGGCCTGTGATCAAAAGACTTCCGTATTCCCCGCCAAACCTTTCAGGGAAGAGTTTGCAACAGTTTGGCACCATTTTTGAGCAAAGTGGAAAATGGCCGATTTTTGATGAAATTGTGACCGCGCGCCTTAGGGATTTTTCACAAAAATCTTTTTCCGCAGGTGAAGTAATCGAGGGCTGATTTCTTGGCCTATGATCAAAAGCCTTCCGTATTCACCGCCCAACCTTTCAGGGAAGAGTTGGCAACAGTTTGGCACCATTTTTGAGCAAAGTGGAAAACGGCCGATTTTTGATGAAATTGTGACCGCGCGCCTTAGGGATTTTTCAGAAAAATCTTTTTCCGCAGGTGAAGTAATCAAGGGCTGATTTCTTGGCCTATGATCAAAAGCCTTCCGTATTCACCGCCAAACCTTTCAGGGTTGAGTTTGCAACCGTTTGGCACCATTTTTGAGCAAAGTGGAAAACGGCCGATTTTTGAGGAAATTGTGACCGCGCGGCTTAGGTATTTTTTCAGAATTTTTTTTTCGCAGGTGAAGGAGTCGAGGGCTGATTTCTTCGCCTATGATCAAAAGACTTCCGTTTCCACCGCCAAACCTTTCAGGGGAGAGTTTGCAACAGTTTGGCACCATTTTTGAGCAAAGTGGAAAACGGCCGATTTTTGATGAAATTGTGACCGCGCGGCTTAGGGATTTTTTAAAAAAATCTTTTTCCGCAGTTGAAGTAATCGAGGGCTGATTCCTTGGCCTATGATCAAAAGCCTTCCGTATTCACTGCCAAACCTTTCAGGAAAGAGTTTCCAACCGTTTGGCACCATTTTTGAGCAAAGTGGAAAACGGACGATTTTTGATGAAAGTGTGACCTCGCGGCTTTAGGGATTTTTTCAGATTTTTTTTTTTCGCAGGTGAAGTACTCGAGGTCTGATTTCTTGGCCTAAGATCAAAAGACTTCCGTTTCCACCGCCAAACCTTTCAGGGAGAGTTTGCAACAGTTTGGCACCATTTATGAGCAAAGTGGAAAACGGCCGATTTTTGATGAAATTGTGACCGTGCGCCTTAGGGATTTTTCAAAAAATCTTTTTCTACAGGTGAAATAGTCGAGGGCTGATTTCTTCGCCTCTGATCAAAAGCCTTCCGTATTCACCGCCAAACCATTAAGGGAAGAGTTTGCAACCGTGTGGCACCAGTTTTTTAGAAAAGTGGAAAAAGGACGATTTTATATGAAAGTGTGACCGCGCGCTTAGTGATTTTTCAGAAAAATCTTTTTCCGATGGTGAAGTAGTCGAGGGTTGATTTCTTGGCCTATGATCAAAAGACTTCCGTTTCCACTGCCAAACCTTTCAGGGGGGAGTTTGCAACAGTTTGGCACCATTTTTGAGCAAAGTGGAAAACGGCCGATTTTTGATGAAATTGTGACCGCGCGGCTTAGGTATTTTTTCAGAATTTTTTTTTTTGCAGGTGAAGTAGTCGACGGCTGATTTCTTCGCCTACGATCAAAAGTCTTCCGTTTCCACCGCCAAACCTTTCAGGGGAGAGTTTGCAACAGTTTGGCACCATTTTTGAGCAAAGTGGAAAACGGCCGATTTTTGATGAAATTGTGACCGCGCGTCTTAGGGATTTTTCAAAAAAATCTTTTCTACAGGTGAAGTAGTCGAGGGCTAATTTCTTGGCCTATGATCAAAAGCCTTCCATATTCCCCGCCAAACCTTTCAGGGAAGAGTTTGCAACAGTTTGGCACCATTTTTGAGCAAAGTGGAAAACGGCCGATTTTTGATGAAATTGTGACCGCGCGCCTTAGGGATTTTTCAGAAAAATCTTTTTCCGCAGTTGAAGTAATCGAGGGCTGATTCCTTGGCCTATGATCAAAAGCCTTCCGTATTCACCGCCAAACCTTTCAGGAAAGAGTTTGCAACCGTTTGGCACCATTTTTGAGCAAAGTGGAAAACGGACGATTTTTGATGAAAGTGTGACCTCGCGGCTTTAGGGATTTTTTCAGATTTTTTTTTTCCGCAGGTGAAGTTCTCGAAGTCTGATTTCTTGGCCTATGATCAAAAGACTTCCGTTTCCACCGCCAAACCTTTCAGGGGAGAGTTTGCAACAGTTTGGCACCATTTTTGAGCAAACTGGAAAACGGCCGATTTTTGATGAAATTGTGACCGCGCACCTTAGGGATTTTTCAAAAAAATCTTTTTCTACAGGTGAAGTAGTCGAGGGCTGATTTCATGGCCTATGATCAAAAGCCATCCGTATTCCCCGCCAAACCTTTCAGGGAAGAGTTTGCAACAGTTTGGCACCATTTTTGAGCAAAGTGGAAAACGGACGATTTTTTATGAAAGTGTGACCGCGCTGCTTAGTGATGTTTCAGAAAAATCTTTTTCCGCAGGTGAAGTAGTCGAGGGTTGATTTCTTGGCCTATGATCAAAAGACTTCCGTTTCCACCGCCAAACCTTTCAGGCGAGAGTTTGCAACAGTTTGGCACCATTTTTGAGCAAAGTGGAAAACGGCCGATTTTTGATGAAATTGTGACCGCGCGCCTTAGGGATTTTTCAGAAAAATCTTTTTCCGCAGGTGAAGTAATCGAGGGCTGATTTCTTGGCCTATGATCAAAAGCCTTCCGTATTCACCGCCAAACCTTTCAGGGAAGAGTTTGCAACCGTTTGGCACCATTTTTGAGCAAAGTGAAAAACGGACGATTTTTGATGAAAGTGTGACCGCGCGCCTTAGGGATTTTTCAGAAAAATCTTTTTCCGCAGGTGAAGTAATCGAGGGTTGATTTCTTGGCGTATGATCAAAAGCCTTCCGTATTCACCGCCAAACATTTCAGGGAAGAGTTTGCAACCGTTTGGCACCATTTTTGAGCAAAGTGGAAAACGGCCGATTTTTGATGAAATTGTGTTCGCGCGGCTTTTTGATTTTTTCAGTATTTTTTTTTTCGCAGGTGAAGGAGTCGAGGGCTGATTTCTTCCCCTATGATCAAAAGACTTCCGTTTCCACCGCCAAACCTTTCAGGGGAGAGTTTGCAACAGTTTGGTACCATTTTTGAGCAAAATGGAAAACGGCCGATTTTTGATGAAATTGTGACCGCGCGCCTTAGGGATTTTTCACAAAAAACTTTTTCCGCAGGTGAAGTAATCGAGGGCTGATTTCTTGGCCTATGATCAAAAGCCTTCCGTATTCACCGCCAAACCTTTCATGAAAGAGTTTTCAACAGTTTGGCACCATTTTTGAGTAAAGTGGAAAACGGCCGATTTTTGATGAAATTGTGACCGCGCGCCTTAGGGATTTTTCAAAAAAATCTGTTTCTACAGGTGAAGTAGTCGAGGGCTCATTTCTTGGCCTATGATCAAAAGCCTTCCGTATTCCCTGCCAAACCTTTCAGGGAAGAGTTTGCAACAGTTTGGCACCATTTTTGAGCAAAGTGGAAAACGGCCGATTTTTGATGAAATTGTGACCGCGCGCCTTAGGGATTTTTCAGAAAATCTTTTTCCGCAGGAGAGTAATCGAGGGCTGATAAATTGGCCTATGATCAAAAGCCTTCCGTATTCACCGCCAAACCTTTCAGGGAAGAGTTTGCAACCGTTTGGCACCATTTTTGAGCAAAGTGGAAAACGGACGATTTTTGATGAAAGTGTGACCGCGCGGCTTAGTGATGTTTCAGAAAAATCTTTTTCCGCAGGTGAAGGAGTCAAGGGGTGATTTCTTGGCCTATGATCAAAAGACTTCCGTTTCCACCGCCAAACCTTTCAGGGGAGAGTTTGCAACAGTTTGGCACCATTTCTGAGCAAAGTGGAAAACGGCCGATTTTTGATGAAACTGTGACCGCGCGGCTTAGGTATTTTTCAGAATTTTTTTTTCGCAGGTGAAGTAGTCGAGGGCTGATTTCTTGGCTTATGATCAAATGCCTTCCGTATTCACCGCCAAACCTTTCAGGGAAGAGTTTGCAACAGTTTGGCACCATTTTTGAGCAAAGTGGAAAACGGCTGATTTTTGATGAAATTGTGACCGCACGCCTTAGGGATTTATCAGAAAAATCTTTTTCCGCAGTTGAAGTAATCGAGGGCTGATTTCTTGGCTTATGATCAAAAGCCTTCCGTATTCACCGCCAAACCTTTCAGGGAAGAGTTTGCAACCGTTTGGCACCATTTTTGAGCAAAGTGGAAAACGGTCGATTTTTGATGAAATTGTGACCGCGCGGCTTAGGGATTTTTTCAGAATTTTTTTTCCCGCAGATGAAGTAGTCGTGGGCTGATTTCTTGTCCTGTGATCAAAAGACTTCCGTATTCCCCGCCAAACCTTTCAGGGAAGAGTTTGCAACAGTTTGGCACCATTTTTGAGCAAAGTGGAAAATGGCCGATTTTGATGAAATTGTGACCGCGCGCCTTAGGGATTTTTCAGAAAAATCTTTTTCCGCAGGTGAAGTAATCAAGGGCTGATTTCTTGGCCTATGATCAAAAGCCTTCCGTATTCACCGCCAAACCTTTCAGGGTTGAGTTTGCAACCGTTTGGCACCATTTTTGAGCAAAGTGGAAAACGGCCGATTTTTGAGGAAATTGTGACCGCGCGGCTTAGGGATTTTTTAGAATTTTTTTTTTCGCAGGTGAAGGAGTCGAGGGCTGATTTCTTCGCCTATGATCAAAAGACTTCCGTTTCCACCGCCAAACCTTTCAGGGGAGAGTTTGCAACAGTTTGGCACCATTTTTGAGCAAAGTGGAAAACGGCCGATTTTTGATGAAATTGTGACCGCGCGGCATAGGGATTTTTTTAAAAAATCTTTTTCCGCAGTTGAAGTAATCGAGGGCTGATTCCTTGGCCTATGATCAAAAGCCTTCCGTATTCACTGCCAAACCTTTCAGGAAAGAGTTTCCAACCGTTTGGCACCATTTTTGAGCAAGGTGGAAAAGGACGATTTTGATGAAAGTGTGACCTCGCGGCTTTAGGGATTTTTTCAGATTTTTTTTTTCCGCAGGTGAAGTACTCGAGGTCTGATTTCTTGGCCTATGATCAAAAGACTTCCGTTTCCACCGCCAAACCTTTCAGGGGAGAGTTTGCAACAGTTTGGCACCATTTTTGAGCAAAGTGGAAAACGGCCGATTTTTGATGAAATTGTGACCGCACGCCTTAGGGATTTTTCAAAAAAATCTTTTTCTACAGGTGAAATAGTCGAGGGCTGATTTCTTCGCCTCTGATCAAAAGCCTTCCGTATTCCCCGCCAAACCATTCAGGGAAGAGTTTGCAACCGTTTGGCACCATTTTTGAGAAAAGTGGAAAACGGACGATTTTATATGAAAGTGTGACCGCGCGGCTTAGTGATGTTTCAGAAAAATCTTTTTCCGAAGGTGAAGTAGTCGAGGGTTGATTTCTTGGCCTATGATCAAAAGACTTCCGTTTCCACTGCCAAACCTTTCAGGGGGGAGTTTGCAACAGTTTGGCACCATTTTTGAGCAAAGTGGAAAACGGCCGATTTTTGATGAAATTGTGACCGCGCGGCTTAGGTATTTTTTCAGAATTTTTTTTTCCGCAGGTGAAGTAGTCGAGGGCTGATTTCTTCGCCTATGATCAAAAGACTTCCGTTTCCACCGCCAAACCTTTCAGGGGAGAGTTTGCAACAGTTTGGCACCATTTTTGAGGAAAGTTGAAAACGGCCGATATTTTATGAAATTGTGACCGCGCGGCTTAGTGATTTTTTCAGAATTTTTTTTTCGCAGGTGAAGTAGTCGAGGGCTGATTTATTGGCCTATGATCAAAAGACTTCCGTTTCCACCGCCAAACCTTTCAGGGGAGAGTTTGCAACAGTTTGGCACCATTTTTGAGCAAAGTGGAAAACGGCCGATTATTGATGAAATTGTGACCGCGCCCCTTAGGGATTTTTCAGAAACATCTTTTTCCGCAGGTGAAGTAGTCGAGGGCTGATTTCTTGGCCTATGATCAAACGCCTTCCGTATTCACCGCCAAACCTTTCATGGAAGAGTTTTCAACAGTTTGGCACCATTTTTGAGTAAAGTGGAAAACGGCCGATTTTTGATGAAATTGTGACCGCGCGCCTTAGGGATTTTTCAAAAAAATCTGTTTCTACAGGTGAAGTAGTCGAGGGCTCATTTCTTGGCCTATGATCAAAAGCCTTCCGTATTCCCTGCCAAACCTTTCAGGGAAGAGTTTGCAACAGTTTGGCACCATTTTTGAGCAAAGTGGAAAACGGCCGATTTTTGATGAAATTGTGACCGCGCGCCTTAGGGATTTTTCAGAAAAATCTTTTTCCGCAGGAGAGTAATCGAGGGCTGATTTATTGGCCTATGATCAAAAGCCTTCCGTATTAACCGCCAAACCTTTCAGGGAAGAGTTTGCAACCGTTTGGCACCATTTTTGAGCAAAGTGGAAAACGGACGATTTTTGATGAAAGTGTCACCGCGCGGCTTAGTTATGTTTCAGAAAAATCTTTTCCGCAGGTGAAGGAGTCGAGGGGTGATTTCTTGGCCTATGATCAAAAGACTTCCGTTTCCACCGCCAAACCTTTCAGGGGAGAGTTTGCAACAGTTTGGCACCATTTCTGAGCAAAGTGGAAAACGGCCGATTTTTGATGAAACTGTGACCGCGCGGCTTAGGTATTTTTTCAGAATTTTTTTTTCGCAGGTGAAGTAGTCGAGGGCTGATTTCTTGGCTTATGATCAAAAGCCTTCCGTATTCACCGCCAAACATTTCAGGGAAGAGTTTGCAATAGTTTGGCACCATTTTTTGAGCAAAGTGGAAAACGGCTGATTTTGATGAAATTGTGACCGCACGCCTTAGGGATTTATCAGAAAAATCTTTTCCGCAGTTGAAGTAATCGAGGGCTGATTTCTTGGCTTATGATCAAAAGCCTTCCGTATTCACCGCCAAACCTTTCAGGGAAGAGTTTGCAACCGTTTGGCACCATTTTTGAGCAAAGTGGAAAACGGTCGATTTTTGATGAAATTGTGACCGCGCGGCTTAGGGATTTTTTCAGAATTTATTTTTTCGCAGGTGAAGTAGTCGAGGGCTGATTTCTTCGCCTATGATCAAAAGACTTCTGTTTGCACCGGCAAACCTTTCATGGGAGAGTTTGCAACAGTTTGGCACCATTTTTGAGCAAAGTGGAAAACGGCCGATTTTTGATGAAATTGTGACCGCGCGGCTTAGGGATTTTTTTAGAATTTTTTTTCCCGCAGGTGAAGTAGTCGAGGGCTGATTTCTTGGCCTACTATCAAAAGACTTCAGTTTCCACCGCCAAACCTTTCAGGGGAGAGTTTGCAACAGTTTGGCACCATTTTTGAGCAAAGTGGAAAACGGCCGATTTTTGATGAAATTGTGACCGCGCGCCTTAGGGATTTTTCAAAAAAATCTTTTTCTACTGGTGAAGTAGTCGAGGGATGATTTCTTGGCCTATGATCAAAAGCCTTCCGTATTCCCCGCCAAACCTTTCAGGGAAGAGTTTGCAACAGTTTGGCACCATTTTTGACCAAAGCGGAAAATGGCCGATTTTTGATGAAATTGTGACCGCGCGGTTTAGGTATTTTTTCAGAATTTTTTTTTCCGCAGGTGAAGTAGTCGGGGGTTATTTCTTCGCCTATGATCAAAAGACTTCCGTTTCCACCGCCAAACCTTTCAGGGGAGAGTTTGCAACAGTTTGGCACCATTTTTGAGCAAAGTGGAAAACGACCGATTTTTTTTGAAATTGTGACCGCGCGGCTTAGGAATTTTTTCAGAATTTTTTTTCCCGCAGGTGAAGTAGTCGAGGGCTGATTTCTTCGCCTATGATCAAAAGACTTCCGTTTCCACCGCCAAACCTTTCAGGGGAGAGTTTGCAACAGTTTGGCTGCATTTTTGAGCAAAGTGGAAAACGGCCGATTATTGATGAAATTGTGACCGCGCGCCTTAGGGATTTTTCAGAAAAATCTTTTTCCGCAGGTGAAGTAGTCGAGGGCTGATTTCTTCGCCTATGATCAAAAGACTTCCGTTTCCACCTCCAAACCTTTCAGGGGAGAGTTTGCAACAGTTTGGCACCATTTTTGAGCAAAGTGGAAAACGGCCGATTTTTGATGAAATTGTGACCGTGCGCCTTAGGGAGTTTTCAAAAAAATCTTTTCTACAAGTGAAGTAGTCGAGGGCTGATTTCTTGGCCTATGATCAAAAGCCTTCCGTATTCACCGCCAAACCTTTCAGGGAAGAGTTTGCAACCGTTTGGCACCATTTTTGAGCAAAGTGGAAAACGGACGATTTTTGATGAAAGTGTGACCGCGCGGCTTAGTGATGTTTCAGAAAAATCTTTTTCCGCAGGTGAAGGAGTCGAGGGGTGATTTCTTGGCCTATGATCAAAAGACTTCCGTTTCCACCGCCAAACCTTTCATGGGAGAGTTTGCAACAGTTTGGCACCATTTTTGAGCAAAGTGGATAACGGACGAGTAGTGATGAAATTGTGACCGCGCGGCTTAGGTATTTTTCAGAATTTTTTTTCGCAGGTGAAGTAGTCGAGGGCTGATTTCTTGGCTTATGATCAAAAGCCTTCCGTATTCACCGCCAAACATTTCAGGGAAGAGTTTGCAACCGTTTGGCACCATTTTTGAGCAAAGTGGAAAACGGCTGATTTTTGATGAAATTGTGACCGCACGCCTTAGGGATTTATCAGAAAAATCTTTTTCCGCAGTTGAAGTAATCGAGGGCTGA